AAACCTAAGCGGTCATATATTTCATTTAGAGATTCTTTTTTATATTTAAAACAACATTGAAATCCATGTCTCCGTATACTATGAAATTTATCCATAATAAAGATTTATACGATAAAAATATATGAATACATATTTTAGAAAAACCATATAAAACACAAACATATCAAAATACCACAAAAAACCGTATAAAACATTTACGAAACATAATATCGGTAATACAGATATATCCAAAATGATAGAAAAATACATGTCACCAAATACAACTAAAAACATATAGAGATATACGGTCGTACAAAAGTAAAAGTGGTTGATCTCCCCTAATGCCAAATATGTTAGATTACGGTCTGTTGTTATCACAAAAGGGTAAAATTTACAGAATGAACTAAAAACCTAGTGTGCTCTATACAGTGTAAAAAACATACAAATAAAATATTTCATTAAAATCAGTTTATTAAACATGTTTTAAAAAATATGAACACTACCCCCATCCGATCACGTCCAAAATATGGAGGTTCCCCATAACCATACACCCCGTCACATCCAGTAAGGCCCTGAGCACAAAGTCGAGGAGCCTGCAAGTATACTTCCTCCAACAATAATTCCCCCAATGAAAAATAATAAACATGTATGTATTCGAATGAAATGGTGATTAATCTATTAAAACATGAAAATATTTCATGCTTGAAATTCATATACAGAAATACGAAAATCATAAATCAAATCGGTAATGTACGATAAATCAGATGTCGGGTAAACAGTATTCAGAAATCAGGTATCATGTCATAACAATATTCAGAATTATCACCAATATGAAACAATTCAAATAATAGTACAAAACAGTAAAATAACACCGTCAGGAAACACACATGTAACAGCCTGAGTAATCGGATTGGGGAGCTTACTATTGAGTCTGTCGATCACGCTCTACGGCAGTGATAGATCATACAAATCGGAAAAATTCATATTGAAATCCTAATATGAATAATCTTAACCTTTATTTAAATAATTTACGGAAACCTACATGTAATTCTCGTAATACGCGGCTGATATAACGAATGGAAAACATCGAATCTAACTGACCCTTACTCAGGTGAAACACGAGCACCTTCATAAAATATCTTATTGGATCAATTCCATAACCATATCTCAAATAAATAAGCAAAAATGCTAAGAATACTAAGCATTTTTTGGTTAACGAGTTTGATTCAGGGCATTCGGGTCAGAATTTGGCAAAACAGACTTTGGAATCTGATTCAGGACGTCGAAAAACATAAAATATGACTTTTCAAAAATTTTGACTTTTTGTCAAAGTCAACGAGTTTGACTTGCAATTTTGAGCCTTTCGGGTTCCAATTTGGAAAAACGGGCTTCAGAATCGGACTCATGACGTTGAAAAATATAGAGTATTACTTTTAGAAAATTTTGACTTTTTTGTTAAAGTCAACGGTCAATGGGTCAAGACGGGTCGAGTTGGGTTGGACAGGGTCATACCAAATCGGGTCAGGTCAGGCCGGTTTTCACACTCACCACGCGCAACAGACATTCCCCACGCACAGGGGCGGCGCGTAGGGACGCGTGCAGTGGCCTAAGGACTCCAAAAAATTACGAAAAAATACAGAAAATTATTGTAAGGGACTTTGAGACACTTACCAAGCTCATTTCACAATTTTGAACGGCAGAGAGCTTTATTTCGAAATGTTGGAAACTTTAACTTCCTTACCTCCCTCACGTGCTTGCGACGATGGAGACAAGAAAGACACCGATGGACTCGAAACGACACAAGGAACACGATGGTACGGGAGGTGTCGAAAATGGAGAAACGATCGGCAATGAGTCGACGATTTTCATAGTGGTGGTGTTAAAAAAGGCAAAACTTTGAATCGAAATTCACGGTGTTAGACGATATTTCATTACAAGAAGATTACGGGGTTTTGTTCACTTGTTGACGAGGAACACGATAGTGGTTTTGGATCGATGATCAGTGGTTGGACGGTGGAGAAATCGGGCTTGGAATGAAGGTATGCAGGGATGGTATTTTGACAATTTTGCTTCTGATTTCCTCCCGAAATCAAATTCATCGCATTTAATGGGAGTGTCTGCCGACATAAAATGGTAAAATTCAAGGCTAGGTCCATGAATTTCCTTCAACTTCAAAAATGACCTACAAGTTCTAGAAACTTTTAATTTAACCCTCAAATTTTACCAAATTGCTTATTTATTTATTCTTTTTTTCCAGATTGTTACAACCAAAGTGTTTTTTAAAAAAGTTACATAACCTGATCCTGTAAATTAATAGTTTACCCCCAAGATTGATGTTTTTGTGGGTTTCAGATTTTTAGTAAGGAATTTGTGTTAAAAGCTATAAAGTGTGAAAGTTCGAGAAAAATTCAGATAATCAGATCAAATCGAAAATTCAGGAAATTTTGCTAGATGATAAAACAAGGGAAAATGTCTTTTCCATGCTTTAAATTTATAAGATTTAATGTGGACCATTGGATTTAAGTTGATTTCCATGTTAAATATTAGCCAATAGATTAAAAAGGATAATATTATAATTTTGGAACTTTATGAGGGCAAAGTTGTAAACTAGTAACCTCATGGATTAATTTCAGCCCTTGGATGATAAATTTGATATGTGGCATGATTAAGATCATTGGATTTTATGGTCATAATAGTCGTTTTGGACTAAAATGAATTTTAAATTCAATTAGGTTATAAAAATCTAAAGAGGACTAAAATTGAATTTCTCTTGAATTTTTCTTGAATTTTTTCCTACTGCCGTGAGTTATAACAAAATCAAGGTAAGTTTTAAAATTGATTTTTAAGCATTTTAAATTAGATTTAAGGTTAAGCCATGAAATCCAATTTTGTTCTCCATTAAATTTTCTTTTATTTGGTATCATTTTTTATTATTCATGCTTATAACCCTAAATTTATGAAAAGGGTGGTGAAGGTATGATGAAATTTGTGGTTTCAAGGTTTGAAAATGATGATATAGGTGTTATGATGTTGATTTCATGTTCCAGATAATGAAAAATCCATTAGTTTTCCTTTAGGGATACATTTGGAAAAGATGAAAAGTTAAGGTGTTGGTGTTTTGAATTGATTTTTATGTTATTTATGATGAGAATGTTATGTTTTATACCTTAGCATGTTTATTCAAGCTTGAAATGAGGAAGAATGGTTGAATCCTAATATTAACCAAAAAGACACTTTAAGAAAAATTTGGGAATTATATTCAAAGCTTGAATTTGATTAAGGCTATGACAGAAAATTACAATACATGTTTAGATTTGTTTTTTTTAATGTTGAAAACACTTTAGAAAGTGATGGATTATATTAGGTCATATGGATTTCTTAAGGAAAAATTTATAGAAAAATTCAAGTGACTTATTTATGATATTTGTTATCTTTTAAGGATTAATTTGAGTATTAAATTATTGGATACAGACTTGAAATGTGAAATTTTTATGATTAGTCCTTAAAACCTAACAGAGAAAAAGAAGGGCTTAAGGTGAAATTATGATTTTAAAGGTGAATTCAAGTAAGTTAAGGTGAAAAGAAGTGTAGGAAACATTGTGATTACTATGTTGTATTGGAATGAATATTATGATTTTTTCCTACACTATATACGCATGGGTTAGATGGATTCTAACATGTGCTTTTGATTATTTGTGTTATATTTTTGATGTATTTATAGACATCAATCAAAATCGGGATTATCTAGTAACAAAGAAGATAAAAAAAAATCGAGCTTAAAACTTAATGAGGCTTATATTTTGACTTGTATAAAAAGTGTCAATGTGAGTGCAATGCATGTGTAACATGATACATGGATGTTTTATACATCATTAAGAATACTTGCAATGAGTCTACTTGTTTATATTAGCATGATATTTATGTCATTAATCATATATTTGACATATTTTAAATAGATCAAAAGTTAATATAAAATACATTGATCACTATCTTATTTATGATGTTATATAATGAATGTGATTTCAGGTATGAACTACCTAATGTTGAACTATGTTGATATACAATGCCATGAATGAAATAAATATAGACTATAGGCCCAAGTAGATCATTGAGGGACAATAGTATAGTTGGCATGCCATAGACTCCAACAGCAGGTTGTATATTCTATTTAGCATTATAGTCTATATAAATGACACTTAGTGCATATGGCGGGAACGACCTTATGTGTATTAACACTTCGGTGCATATTTAACTCGTGTACCCAGGGTTCTCATAGGCTTATATTTGGGCTATGGTTTATGGGTTAATAAATTATAAACAGATGATTAAACTTATGAGCTTATGAAATGAATGGCATGTATACTGGTAAGAAATTATATACATTGTTTATTTCATTTTAATGTGTAACATGAATGTAATAAAAGTAAAGTGATCATGATGCATTGAGTATTTTTATTTCTTTATATATACATTGTATTGCACTGGTTATTATTATTGCCTCACTAAGTATATACTTAGCATGTGATGATTTTCACGCTTAAGTAAAAAGCATAAAATTGGAGTAAAGAGTATCAAGCATCACTCATCAAGAGATATATCTACAATATTAGTAATTACATCAATCTAATGTAGTTTAAATTTCTAGTTAAAATGTATATAATAATAATAGTTGGTTTCTACTAGTTTAGATATAACTAGTAATAAATTATAATCTAGTAATGTTGGTAATGATGGATAATGGTTAAAATAAACAATGGATAGTTTATATTAGTGTTGTAATTGTTAAATGAATTACAAGTTTAATAATATGGTAAACAATAGAATAAAATGAAGCTACTGATTAAGGTTGATTATAGATAATTTTTAAGCAACTATTAGTTACGTACTGCTACGTTACTATCTGAAATTGGATTTAGTTTGGTTAATTAAAAACTAGAAATTAATGTTACTTGCTAAATCAATAAAATGTTATAAAATCAGTTTGTGACATTATGTGTATTTCGGAATTAAATACGGGTAAGGGTGTTACATGAAGTATACTTTAAACTCTCTGGTAGATGGGTTCCAAAGGGAAACATTATGTCCATTATATGGCTATGCTAAATGCAATATTCCATTACAAGGACTGTCAACTATAGGTAGATACACAAAATTCTCGAAAAAGGGTAAGTGAATATTGTGTTTTGCTTTAATGTTTTGGCCTTTCTCAGTCGAAAGTTGAGAGAAATAATTGAAGTCATCATAGGTGGCACCATTACGACGTTTGAGGAGGAGATTAAGACTGCTGTTTTTGAGGTTGTTAAAATATGTTCAATAATGAAATGAGGGGTTGAAAAGATGAAGACTATGACTTACAAACGCACCTAAAACGTACAAGGATTTAACGGGAACCTTTGAAAGGATCTCCAACACCCTTTGGTATTTTAGTTATAGTTTTGCTCAACCCTTGCATCTTCTTCCTTTATCTTCTCTGTTTCCTCTATGTTTCTTATTCAAGATTTTATCTTGACGAAAATAAATGAGAACTTAAATGAATGAAAACAATGAAGACGACAACAAAAACAATAACTGGCAACATCACACATTTTTATTTAGGGTAAACTACACCAATGGCAATTAATCTTTGAATATGTTTTAGTTTTCTTCAGTGAATTTTCAAAAAGTAATAAATTGATCATTAATATTATTAATTTATAATAAAATGACCATTTCACCTTCTTCTCGTTAAATTGATAATGTAACAACATTAAAAAAAAGAATAATATTTTATTTTATTCTTAAACTATTTTTAATATATTAAATAGATCATTGAAAAATAATTTTATATCTAAATTATCTGATTGATTTTCATTTTTTTCAAACACTCCACCATTGAATCCCATAATTCTCCAAGAGTTTGGACTTATCTTTCTTGCAACTGCTCACAGTAAATCATCGACAAAGAAATTGTAAACTTCATTGCAGTACTAAATGATGAATCATGCTCTTCCATCTCCACATAATTTGTTTTAAACGACCGGAAGCAACTGCTCATGGAGGACGGCGAAGAACACACTGTCGCGTTGGTTATACTGCCGTTGTCGCTACCTCCAATACTGTTGTTGTCTTCGTGTCAATGTGAATTTGGATTTAAGTTGAATCAATGTGAATTTTTAAGGATGTTTTCTTTAAGCCGTGGAAAACTGAGGGACTTTCTTTTTTAAGCAATTTTGTTTTATGGGTCTTTTCCCATCAAATCACCGATTTCAATATTTGATTTGAAATTCAATTGTAAGCTTATCTTGATCAAACGCTTATTTTCCTTTTATCTATTTATTTATTTTAAATGTTTATTTGATAAATCTATTATTTAGTTCTTTTAATAATAATTTCATGTATATATATATATATTTCATGGTTAATCAGAAGGGTTGCCACTATCCTTTAAATTACCCCTTTGTCGAGAAACTCCATTAGCCGCCCAACCTAAAACCATAGTATTATCTCACCAAAATCAGTTCTACAACACATGTAAATTAGGTCTGCAACTAGGGTTAAGCGAAATTCGACTCGATTCGAAAAATTGATTATTTTTCAATTTCGAGTTATTCGAGTCAACTCAAATTATCGATTAGATTTTCGAGTTCAAGTCGAGTTGAATTTTTTAAATTTCGAGTTACTAAAGAAACCAAAAATTTGACTAAGTATTTTGATAGTTTTACGATATGGTCTTTGATTTCATTATTCCTTCGATTTCTCCTTCATTTTAAGTCAATGTTTTACCAAATTTGAACCACATGCTTCTTAAACCATTGTAGAATACATATGTACTTTCAATATCTATTTTGATAAGAATTTTTCTATTTTTCAATCTTGTCCCTCAATTTTTCATAATTTCCTTATTTCTTCTATTCATCATGTATTTTAAGTTCGTTTTCCACCAAATTTGAACAACATGCTCATATCCCACTATAGAATACCCATGTAACTTCAAATCTTAATTTTTTACTAAAAAGGACTCTTTTTTTTTATTTAGTCCTTTAACTTTGCATTTTACTCAATTTGATCTTTTGATTTTGATTGTTTGCAAATTCTTTCTTCACATCAATTCCTTGACTTCTTTATACTCTCATCAATATTTTTACCCTCAAAATAATTTCTTTAAAATATAATATTATGAATATATTTTATAGTTTTAGATTGTATTTGATATATTATATAACATTATAACGTGAAAAGAATATGAAATATATATCTTAGATAGTTAGAGAAAGTCAAAAAATTAGAATCAATCCTTATCATATTACTATAAATAATTATAATAAAATTAGTATAGAAACTCGAATAACTTGACTAAAATTTCTTAAACTCGACTAAAAAAATTTCAAGTTAAGTTCGAGTTAAAAAAATATGAATCATCAACTCGAATAACTCAATTTTTTTTACTTTACTCGAGTTGTCTTGATCGAATGCTCACCCTGTCTGCAACGTAGGTCAGTCCAAATTAATTAAGGTGAAATTTTAGAATCAGGAGAAAAAACCGTAGTTCTATTTCTTTTATGTATTACCACTACACTGATCAAGCATATCTGTTTTTGAAAACTCTAGAACTCAACACAATAATTTGTTTTTGTCGACACCGTTTTTCGCCCAAGTGGCAAAAAACAAGTACCGACTTAGGGATTATTCTTTGAAAAGGTTTTGAATTATGAGGAGTCACCCCCAATCATTTTAAGGGTGCGATCGACACATCATAAAAATTGGGTAATTTTAATAAAACATTTTATTTTATCAAAATACAAAGTTTAGGGTCTAGGAAAACTAAAAAATGGGTTCGGGAGTCAGTTACGCGTTGTAAAATGATCAACACCCTCATAAAGCCCAAAAATTGGTACCTAGTTGGTTACCCTATATTTAAGAAATTGAAAATCTTGAGTTTGAACTTTATTTAATCAAATATTCACTATGGATGTTGTCGACAGTCATTTTTGTCTGAGTCCTGATTTGTTGTAAATATTATAATAATAATAATATATTATTATTATTATTATTATATTATAATTAATTTTTACAATTTTACAGGTCCAAATACACATTAAACCCGAAGGCCCAATTACAACTAAGGCCTGATTACAACAAAACCCGAATGCCTAATCCTAGCAGACTTGACCCGAACAGCCCAACAGGCCCGGAAGCAAACCCAAATGTTGTTAGGGTTTCATCTCATCTCCAGCGTCGCATGGATCTCAGCTGTTGGATCTGGAGAGATCCAACGGTCCTAAGTGCAACCAGAAAAATCTTAGGGTACTCATTGTAACTCTAGGGCAATTCCGGCCACCACCATAGTGGTATGATGCCTCCACCGTCGAATGCTCCAACCAGCAGTAGCCATGTAGCTGCCACGTCCTCACCGGATTCGCAAGATTTGGGTACATTTAATGCACCTAGACTCTCCACCGCACAACTCACCACCCCTAGGGTGAGTTACTTCCGTATCTCCGACGACTCACCGGGGTATACTCTATTAATCGATTCGAAAAGGGACTCGAAGAACCCTATAAATAGGGTGAACTTGCAAATAACAAACACAATGAGCAAGAACGGAGCAAGCAATCCAAAAACAACAACCAAACCACGAGAAATCAGAAATAGAGAGAAAGAGGAAAGCCTTATCGCCATTGGAATCTTCAAGAGTCACCGAAAAAAGTTTAACTTCGAAGGTACAAATCTAGATCTACTTAGATTTAAGGTTTTTTAGGGTAAAGGGTCGCCAAATTTGGCTTTAGGAAAAGAGGAGGATTAATTTGGTGTATTCGGGTAAATTTTGGCCATCGTGAGTGGTGGTCGGTGGTGGGTGTCGGTGCCGACATGCAGTGATCGACGTTTACAAAATTCCTTTCGATGAGGGAATCGTAGAGAGGGACGAGAGCTTCTATCTCTAAGAGAGAGAAGTATTTTGAGGAAATGATGCTTAAAGCCTCTTAGATCAGTTTAGGGTCTATATATACCCCTCCCCAAACGATGTCGTTTTGGGGAGGGAGTGTCGGTACAATTTTAAGAAAGGGGAAATCCCATTTGAGGTCCTTGTAACTTTTGTAACTATTCAGTTTAGTCATTAAAAGCATGTTTTCGTATATTTTAATTTAATCTTCAAGTTTTATCAATTCTCATTTTGGTCATTGCCTTGTATATATGTATATTTAGGTTAAATATCGTTTTAGTCCCTTAAAAATTACTAAATTCTATTTTAATATCGTATTAGTAATTTAGGTTAAATTACATAATTAGTGCATAATTCTAGTAGTATTTCGAATTAGGTTAATTAATTTTTTTATTTTTTTATTTTAGTCATTAATTATTATTATATGATTAATTATTATTAGTATTTATACTTCAGGATCATAATTTATAATTTAATTTATGTAATTATAATATAATATTATAGTAGTTTTTTAAAATATTATTTAGTAATTATTTATTTTAAGTTATTTGTAAATTTAAATTTAAAGAACAAATTTATAATTTTATTACAAAGACACTAATTAATAAATATCGGTACCAATTTTGGGCGTTGTGGGGGTGCTAATCCTTCCCAAACGTAACTGACTCCCGAACTCATTTTTATGGTAAGCAGACCCAAGTTGTATTATTTTAATATTATTCCTAGGAATTTTATTAAAATAATATAACACTTTGGTGACCAATCTCACCAAATTAAAAGATTGGTGGTGACTCTACAACTTGGTGTTTCATCTAATTCAAGGGGGATAAACACACACTTTTTCGAGACTAGTTATATCTTTGGGGTGTACTATTTGCACTCTCCGTTGGTGAGGAGAGAAATGTCTCGACAGCTTGGCGACTCTGCTGGGGATTTTAAAAAAAAAAGAGTCCAACCACCAATTTATTAATTATTTGTCTTTGCAATAAAATAATAAATTTGTTTTAATTTTGTTATTATTATTTTAGTTAATTTACTAACCTTTTGTTTTTATGTGTACATATTTAATTTTGGGTTTTTAAAATTGAATAATAGGGTGTACATTACTTTATTACTTTTCCTCACCCACTGTGCACTGCATTCATGACATG